ATCCATGTTATGGTAAGTGTGCACGTGAAGGCTTTGTGCACTTTCTAAAATCCACATTGTGGTAAGTTCACACGCTAGTTCTTTGCGTTCTTTTCTAAAATCCTATATGGTGAGGGCTTCGCTCGGTTACTTCGTGCCCTTTCTTGAGCTGGTTAGAGCCCCGTTCACCTTGGGCGCCACTCCACCTAGGTATCCTAGGATACCTACTTTAACAGGGTGTTGCTACTAGGGGTACGGTGGCCGAGAAGTGCAAAACAAATCACAATTCTGAAAACAAAATTACAAATTACAAACGCAAATGCAAGTCTAAAAAACAAAATTACAATTCAGAAAACACAACAGCAACTCAGAAAACATTATAACAAGTCAGAAAACACAATGACAAATTCGAAAACAAAATAACAAGTCAGAAAACACAAAGACAAATCAGAAAACAAATGAACAAATCAGAAAACACAACGACAAATCAGACAAACCGGAAGAGGTAGGTATAGTTTGAGACAGGGCCATTGGTTTGGGATTACTCACCGCTGACTGGACGAGACATCTGTCAATCAACGCATACAGGAAGAACCAGCTGAAGAACAGCAGAGTCGTGGTAGAAAGTTTGAAGATGGTATTAAAGTAGCACAGTTTAAATGTATTGTATGAATTGCCCTTACTATGGAATAAAAAAATGGGGTGTCTATTTACATTTAGTTAAAAGTGGCTTTAAATCATCAGCTCCTGTGGTGCAGATGGATAAGCGTGTGTTGTTGGCTTTTTTGACCCGGGTTCGATCCCGTCTTTTGCCGAACTTTTTTTTCCTCCCTTTTCAAAACTCGTATTAGCAATGGATTCTATTTACACTAAGTGCAAATACCTATTTACACTGTTAAAATAGCAGGTTTTCTACTACTTGTACACTTCAGTATTGTAGTACATTATAAAACAGTATGCAATAATAACGTATTGAGTGTAAATTATAATTTTAATTTTAATTATTAAATGGATGCCACCTTATTGGTACAATAAAGCCCTCCCTTCACCTACCCTAACCCTAACCGATACTTTATTTTAAACTTTTTTATTATTTCCTTAATTTTTATTGAAAATAAATGCCTTTACGATGTGATAAGAGATTTGAAAAGGGAGAAAAAAAAAGTTCGGCAAAAGGTGGGATCGAACCCGGGTCGATCGCGTCAAAAAGCCAATGACACACACTTATCCATCTGCACCATTGGAGCTGATGAGTCACAGCCACTTTTAACTAAATTTAAATATACACCCCGTATTTTTTTATTCCATAGTAAGGGCAATTCATACAATACATTTAAACTG